ATTTTTGGGTGAAATATAATATTTCTAAGATAGCGAGGATTACCTGTTAATCCTATGAATTGTAGACAGATGCGTATACATTGGTATGCATGTTTTGCATCTGCTATCTCATGTACCTTTTGATTCTTTTAGAAAATGCCGAGCGGGAAAGTTGGTTTCAGCAAAGCCATGTCTAACAAATGGATCCGTCTGGATAAAGCTCATGAGGGAGGACCAAGAGTCTTTAAAACCGTGAGTTACATGCTGCACATAAAATGAATTAAGCCTGAATCTCCCAGTGAATGTGTTATTAATGTAGTGTGTGTGTGTTTCAGGTGGAAACTATTGAGGATACAGTAAGGGACAAACTACAGCTGGTGCAGAAGGGACAGTCGGCAAAACTGGAAGACAAAGAAAAGACTGAACTCAAGAAACGCAAACTGCTATCTGAAGTGTAAGAGAGAGTGCAGTGCTTTTGGCTTTAACTCGCTGAAGTTGTTCATTTTGATTTATTCAGTGTGTTTGTTTAGTCTGAAAATGATATTTTGGTGTTATTCAAGTTAATATAATAGAGGGCACCACAGCTCAATAACAATCTCATGCCAGTGGGAAAACTATATAATGTATTCCTTATTTGTATATTTTATTATAAATATGAATATATGGATGATTGATTGATTTCAGGACGGTTAAGTCATACTGGATCACTAAAGGCAGCAGCTTCAGTACCACCATCACCAAACAAGAGACAGAACTCACTCCAGAGATGATCGCCAGGTGAGACTAATCAGTTTCTCAAAAGGATGTAAAAATTGTTGAGGACCTAAATGTATTACACAACATCATGTTGCAAAGATGCAGTTCTGAGAAACAAGATTTTCCAACTACTTCTGACTTGTTATTAACAACTTAAAAACAGCACAATTTCAATTCTTTGTGTATTTGTAAGTTGCATGACTTGTGTTTTCAGTTGGGTTGAATGAAGCGCTTCACAAGTCTTTGGCTTTTAATGTTTCAGTGGAAGCTGGAAGGAGAAGAAGTTCAAGCCGTATAATTTCGAGGCGATGGGTGTCGCTCCAGACTGCGGTCACCTGCACCCGCTCATGAAGGTCCGGACGCAGTTCAGGCAGATCTTCCTGGAGATGGGGTCAGTCCTTTATCTTTGCATAACACTCTTCTGCCTCAGCTGATAAACCACCAGTTTTCACATAACATAATATTTTGGAAAAAAGAATTTCACACATGCTTGGTCAGTGTTTTTGTGGAGCAGTAAAGATATAGTATGCACAAATATAGCATGCCTTTAACCTAAACATTTGGTTGATAGTTATTAGGGATGTAACGATTCACTCAACTCACGATTCGATTCACGATTTTGATTTCACGATTCGATTTGATTCACGATTTTTTTTTTTTTTTACTAAATAAGATTTAAGACAAGTTATAAATTAAATGTGTCCTTTTATTATTGCTTGGACAAAATGCTGCACATTTCTTTGTGAAATTGAAATATAACACTATAATAATATACTAATATAGCACTTGCATATTATTGCTCTTTTGTTGGTTTTGATTGCTTTTATTGTCCTCATTTGTAAGTTGGTTTGGATAAAAGCGTCTGCTAAATAACAAAATGTATATATAGGCTAATGTAAATGTAAATAACAAAACTAAATTGAAATTTTAAAACATGCCCCAAATCAAATAAGTAACACAAATAAAAGAAATCTCTTCATATAAACAAACTAAGGCTTTGTCTGTGCTC